TATGAGTACAGGGGAATTCGAATCGACCTAGCTAGCCATGTACTCTAAGAGGTACATTCCCTTATTCAAATTCATCTCAACCGTGCGGCGCGTACAGTTACGAAAACTGTTCCCGCCAATTCCTCTTGCCTGCAGCTGCCCGATGCCATCTGCTACGACGGTCCGGATCCACCCCAACCGTCTGACGCTTCGAGTCAGTTCTGACTCCTCGTATTCGTTCTCGATACTGCATGCTTCCTTAGCTGCGGTTAGGAGTGCACAGTAATGTTTCGAACATTACCATTCGTAACACCCCCCTTCACTCCTGGCCGTAGTTCGACTACTCCGCTGAGTTCGGAAAAGTGCTGATACTGCTGACGTGGTAGTCGCTTCGTGAGGAGGTCTGTTGCCATGTCACCGGTCGGGCAATAGGTCAAGTCAACCTTGCCCTTGTCCACTTCGTCTTTGACGAAGAAATACCGCAGCGCAATGTGCTTGGTGCGGTTGACGAAGCCAGGTTTGTTCGCGATGCGAATCGCGCTCTGGTTATCGCAGTGGAGGCGAAAGGTGGGCGAAACTGGAATCTTCGCCTCTTGCAGAAGTTCCAGCAAGTACAGCCCTTCGCGAACTGCTGCAGTTGCTGCGATGAATTCCGCTTCGGCTGACGACAGGGCAACCAACTCCTGCTTCAGAGAATTCCAGGAGATTGGTCCCGTTGGTTCGAGTCGGAACAGGAAGCCAGTCCTGGACCGTCGATTATCGGGGTCTGCTGCGTGATCGACATCCACGTAGTTGATGAGGTTGAAGGATGGGGTTAGTGCAGTTGAGTAGCACAGCCCAACCTTGGGCGTTGAAACGAGGAACTATAGAGCGCGCTGTAGATCCAGAAGATTCTCAGCCATTGGTTTACGTGAGTATTGGGCCAGCTGACTTGCGATGTAGGAGAGGTCAGGCCTGCATGTGACAGAGGCAAAGAGCAGGCATCCCAGCTGCTGCTGGTAAGTCTGAATGCCAGCGGGGGATAGGGCTTTGTTGTCAGGTTTTTGATTCGGTCCGGGAGTTCGGTAGGGAGTGGAGAGCGGTGCAGGTGAAATGTTGAACCGCTTCCCTAACTCCTCTCCATACTTAGCCGCTAAGAGGTGAATGACCTTGGGCGCGTAGGAGATGTTGAGGCCTAAGAACTGCTTCACCTCGTAGTTACGCGTGATGTCGACGCGCCCCGTCAAGCTTTTCTCGAACTGCTCTAGTAGTTCGTTGTTTGAACCTGTGTAAAGTAAGTCGTCGACGTAGACCGTGAGCAGGATGTATTCGCCCTTGAAATCACGGCGGTACATCCCAGGATCGTGCGGCATCTGCTTGAACCCGATTTCAAGCAGGATGTTGTGTAGATACTGCTGCCAAAGCCTCGGTGTCTATTTTATCCCGTAAAGAGACTTCCGCAGCTGGCATACGCGTGAATCCCCTTCACCGTATGTGTGGGGCTGCTCCACGTAGATGACGGCGTCTACTAACGCGTACAGGAACGCGTTCTTCACGTCGATCTGGCGTAGAGGCAGGTGTCGAGCGGCTGCGATGGCGAGCAGGATTCGGACGGAGGTGTGGCGGCTGACCGGAGCAAATGTCTGATCGAAATCGATCCCGTGCCTCTGGCCGTAGCCGCGCACCACCCACCGTGCCTTGAAGCGCTCGATCGTTCCGTCAGCTGCGGTCTTCACGCAGAAGACCCATTTCCCCGAGAGGACCCTCGCGCCTTTGATTGCCGCACGGTCGACTAACACCCAGGTGTCTCGGGATTCGAGCGCCTTGATTTCCGCATCCATTGCTTCACGCCACTCCTTGATGTGAGGTCCAGTGAGGGCTTGACGCGGGTTTCGTGGCTCAATGATGCATAGCGCCCTTGAGGTTGCGGTGTGAAGTCCGAGCAGCTGCAGCCCAGAGACGGTACTGTCGTGGTGACGCTGCGGGACGACTTCCTGCACGTCATCGTCATCGTTTTCTGGCTCAGATGGTGCTGGTGGCGCTGCGCTTCTGCCGCTTCCGCCCGTTTTGCCCATTCCTCCTCCTGAGGAATCGTCGTCGTCGTCCCTGCTGTGGCGATCTCCCCTTATGAACTCGCCCCTGGTGTCTTGCTCCAGAATTGCTGCGGCGGCTTCGTCCTCGGGCGTTGCGTAGCTGTGCCCGTCGTTCGCGTAGACGCGGTTCGCATTTGTCTACTTGTCGTGGCGGAACTGTTCGAGGAACAGGCGTTCGTAGAATATCACCTCGTGAGCGTGGGCGCTCTTCTGACTGAGCAAGTCTAAGATGATCCACGCTTTGTGCTCGTGGCTGATCCCGAGGTGAATGCCCCATTGCGCGCGGCTGGAGAATTTTCCGATGGTTGACGTCGGCGGGCGGTATTGAACCATGCACCCCCACACGCGGAGCATGGATGTGTCCCCTTTAGTCCCGGTCCACTTTACATGCGGGGACAAGTTGCCGGTGATGGCGGTAGTTGACAGCAGGTTGTGCACCCGTACGGCGTGGTGCATCGCGTAGGTCCAGTAGATCGGCGGTAGCTTCGACTGCTTCATCAGCGCCCGCACCTTCGTCATGAGCGTGCGGTTCGTCCGCTCAGCTACGCCCTACTGCTGGTGCGCGTAGGGGCGAGAGATGTGATTCTCGATTTCCTTTTGCGCCAGGTAGCTCTGCATCTGGTTGCTCCTGAATTCTGCTGCGCCGTCAGATTGCCAAATTTTCAGTTTTTTTTTTTCAGGCTGTCGTTGCGCGTGCGCCAGCCAGAGTCGGAATGAACACCTCGTAGGCTCTGTCGCGCGTCTCCACGTTTGCGACCCACACGTAGCGCGTTCCGGCGTCGATGAAGGTAAGCGTGTACATTTCGTCGTCGACTCCGCAGTGCCCCACGTTCAGGAAGTCGTTGTACACTTTGTGCAGCTTGGGGTAGCGGTTTGTTCCTGGCTCGAGCAGCGGGAACGGCTGATGGCTTAGCGCAGCTTCGGGGCAGACGGTGCAGTTGCGCGGATGTGTCGCGCCTCTTACTTCAGTGCCGTCTGGACGCAGGAGTGCTCCTGGGGTAAAGACTCCCGCATCGATGCAGTTTTTCAGCGTCGCGCGTGAAGGATGTCCGAGGCGCTGGTGCCAAAGCGCATCGTCAGCGCGAAAACCGGAGGTGCGCATGTAGCGCGCGCGAGCTTCTTCGGGGTCTTCGTCAGACACGGGGGCAGGTTCTGCTGCTGCCTCTTCTGCTGCTTCTTCTTCGTCGTTGGCGGTGATCATTATTAGCGCCAGAAACTCTCTGTCGCGAATTTCAGAGAGAGGCAAGTTAGTCCCAGGGATGGTTCCAGGGACAAAGGTGGGTTCGCGCGGTTCGGGAGCGGGTCCATAGACGGTGCGGCGCGGAGTTGACGGCTCGTTGCCCCAATCGATGGTGTCCCAGGGGTTGCGATGCGGCGGAATGTCAGGCGGAGGCAGCGCGGGTGGAGCGTGGCACGGGGGACGACTAAGGGGAACAACTGCAATCTCTACTGCTTCTTCTCCCCCCCTTTGTTCTTCGCGAGAAGTCCCCCAGCCTTCGGCAGAGGTGCCCCAGCCGCTAGTTTCGCCGCCAGATGCGGCGCCCCATCCGCCGGTTGCGGTTGCCCAGGTTCCGTCGGTGTTGCCCCATCTGCCAGTGTCAGCCGTTCCCCATCCGCCGACGCTCTCTTCCGCTTCGGCTCCCCATGCGCCGCAGGCGAATGTTCCGCGTGCTTCGGCGAGGCTTTGTTGGCGAAGCTCCTCTGCTTCGCGGCGCGCCAAGTCTTCCTCCTGTTCCACGGTGAGTTTTGCCGTGGGGTCGCGCCAGTGGGGGTAAATCTTTAGGAATTCCTCGTGGGTGTAAGGCCGCACGACTCCGCGTGTGTCGAAAGTTCCGACGCTAGTGCCGCGTAGCATCCCTTGAAGATGTTGGGATGGGGGTCCGATGAGAGGGTGGTCATATGCGCCAAACACGCCGCGCGTGGTGACTTCAAGCTCTAGTTGTGACATTCCTTCTTCTGGCGACGCGTGGCTCTCTGCTTCTACGATGGCGGCGAGTCCGCGGCCGGCAATTGCGCTGGTTGACGCCGATGGCGTGTGGCAGTCCCTGCGGATGCCATCGGGGTGGGCTTCTTCTTTTATAACAAGGGATACACTTCATTAATAAAACAGTCAACGGCATTACATGTATCAGTATAGTAGCATGAGCATCTTGATGCCTATGCTTATCTGGCTGCAGCGGATAACCTTTGGTTTTGGTCAGTGAACAGTCGGTACGATTCATTGTCTGACTGTTGACTTTCCAACTTCCTTTATTACCACGTGCTCTATATGTGTGTAACGAGATAATAGCTACACTGCGTACTTTTTTTACAAGATAGTGTGCTATAGCCATACCTTCGATAGTGCCTTCATTACCGCCTGATTATTCCAACACAGGAATTTGCCTGCTAAAAAAAAATACAACACAGAATGATGCGTTGCATTGTACGCATACTACTGAAGTTACATCATATTGATAATCTCAAACGCGCTTATACTTATATCAGGTACACCCGTAGGCATTCCACATTGCGGTAACACGTGGCGCGACCATTTTCTCCTTCCGAGAACCAGTTCGCAAGATTCGCTCACAGCAATTCCGCGTGAAGCGAATACTGCGGCATTCGGTGATACGGCCGCCCAGCCCATCGCTCGTTCGCCGCAACCCAACCGTCAATCACCGCCTCGCTGACTACGCGCTCACTGCCACAGCAGCCACTTGGTTGATTCAAGCCGTCACCTAGCGAGAATATAATCGAGCGCAAGGCGCAACCTAAATCTCACAAACAGAGCCAACTAAAGCATCTCTCAGCCACGAGCTTCCTCCTACTCTTTGGAACCGCTTTATTGCCCACGACTGCCTTCCTCAGCCACCCGGGTTTAGAGCCCTAAGATACGTACCTCCTCGTATCAGCAGCGATCACTCTTGACAACACCCTTTTTCAATTAGAATCCCGCAATTCGTCCCTATGGCGCGTTCTCCTCTAGCGTCCTCGCTTGTGGCAGCACTGCTTGTAACCGCGCTGTTCGCATCATGCTCACAGTCTAGACTTGTATCCAACGGACTGCTCGGGAATCGCATCCCGAACCGACCAGCACAAGTCACCATCACCATCACTAGTACCGTGTCCGACCTAAAATCCACGCTGCAAGCGCAAGTCAATTTATTAGAAGGGGCGCTGACGCAATCGCTCAACAAGCTTGCAACCGCGTTGAACGACAACGCATCCGCGGCGACATTGGCGCTTCAAGCGCAGATTTTCGCCCTCCAGAGCAGCATCGACTCTCTAAACGCCCGCATTGCCAACCTCGACCTTATTTTATACCTTAGAATCACCCGACCCGGCGGCGTTGCTCCCCAAGCGACTCCTGTCGCACTCCAGTCACGCATCTCGTCCCTAAAAGGCAGCATCCCCGCTATTAACAAACGAGCTACATCGCTCAACACGGACTTGGCGGGCATCCTCCCCAACCTCCGAGCGTTGCTGAGTCAACGAGTGGCAGCGCTCACTCAGAGGGTTGGTGCACTGAATCTGGACGTGTCGGCGCTCGCTGCGCAGGTGGACGCGCTGATCGCCCCGCTGAGTGACGCCCTTGGCGTGGCGGACCTCGTGGCTCTGCTGCCGCACCCAGCAGGTCAGCCTCGCAATCCCTAACCCCGCAAACACTAATCCAGGAAACCCTAATCCCGAAAACCCTACCTCCGCATATCCCAAACCCGCAAATCCCTAGCCCGCAAACCCCAAACCCGCAAACCTTGCTGTTGTTGTGCCCCGACTATGCTTGTGCCCATTCTTGCACAATCTGCTGCTTCTCTTTGTTGCACCATCTGCTGCTGCTCCTTGTTGCACCATTTCCTGCTTCTCTTTGTTGCATCATCTGCTGCTGCTCTTGGGCGAAATCTCTACTGCTTCTCTTGATGATCCCCGTCACTGCAGACATGCTGCGTGGCGTGCACCATTCTTGCACCCTCCTTTCTCACTCAATCCTATCCCTCATTCTTTTCTACTGCTGCTCACCCCGTCACTGCAGGCATGCTGCGTGGCGTGCTGACCTCGTGCGAGGTCCTTCTCCCGGTGGGAGCAGCCAACATTCAGATCACCAACATGTAAGCCACGGCCCCTCACACTCCTTTAAACTACTGCCATTCCTGCTAGACTTCATTGCCACATGATTCATTCCACAATATTACTGCCACTGCCATCAGCTCTCACTCTCACAATGGTTCCGCCTAGTACCTTCCATCTAAGTTCTGCAAACGAATATTCCAACCCCCACTCCGCTTCCCCTCTCCTCCTCACGGCAGGGGCTCGGCGTATGCGGTGGCATGGCGGAGGCACCGCAGGCGGCGGCCATCTACAGCGGCAACAGCACGTGCGGGCAGGCAGCCCCACCCGTGGCGCTGCAGCTGCCCGGCACGTGGCAGCTGCTGAGCTCCGTGTCGTGGTCGCTGGCCAATGTGCTCACTGTCGCGCCGGCGGACCTGGCGGATGTGCTCAGCGCCATCCAGCCGAGCGCCAGTGGGCAGCTCTACATTGGCTTCACGGGCAGCAGCAGCAGCTTGTCGGGAAAGCTGGTTGGTGGCAGGCTTTGAAGGAGAGGGGAATGGGAGATGGATGCACAGGGAGCTGGTGTGATCAAAGGAGGAACATGACAGATGCTTCATGAATGCCACAACAGTAGCTTAGCTGGTGGGACTCTGTGCATTTGTAATGTTCCTTCTTATGCAGTAGGACATGCTGTGTACATATCAAATGCAAAATTTTAGAGGCTGACCTATCACAATGCAGCCGTGCATCCCGACCATGCTGTAACATGTTGCGCTAAGATACTACCGTCATCGGCAAAATGACTAGGGTGAACATTTAATCGGCACGAGTTGTAAGAGTCCCGGGTACACTTAATAATCAAGTACCATTTATGCGATTTAGGGGTGTACACTTGAATTTGGAGGAGGGGGGGGGGGGGGGGGGGGGGGGGTCTGATGTTCGAAGCGAAAAATTGTCTAAGTATAAATGTGTTATATGTTTGTAGGCTGTAGTGGGTTAGCCAATATGTTTGTCTAAGTATAAATGTGTACAACCCCTGCTAGGGTTTCCTACTTGTACTCTTGCTTCTTTCAATCCAATCATTCTTGCCTCATAGTTTTCACATGGTTTCAGAGCAGTAGGTCCGTTAGGACCGATTTTTTTTTCCGGGCCCACCGAATGCCTGTCTGACTGCAGTTACCGCGCTGCCCCACATGCGCCCTGCCTAGCCTGCCCGTCGCGCTGCCCCTAATCCCGCGCCCGGTCCCTTCCCTGCCCGTCGCGTCGCCCTAAGCCCGCGCCCGGCCCCCTGCCTGCCCGTCGCGTCGCCCTAAGCCCGCGCCCGGCCCCCTGCTCACCGTCGCGCTGCCCCTAAGCCCGCGCCCGGCCCCTGCCTGCCCGACGCGCTGCCCCTAAGCCCGCGCCCGGCCCCTGCGTGCCCGTCGCGTCGCCCTAGACCCTCACCCGGCCCCTGCCTGCCCGTCGCGTCGCCCTAAGCCCGCGCCCGACCCCCTGCTCACCGTCGCGCTGCCTTTAAGCCCTCGCCCGGCCCTCTGCCTGCCCCAGCATACTGCTTTACGCCTGCCTACCTCGTACTGCTGCCATGGCGACCATGAATGTGCTAGCTTTCGAACCTGACGGTCGCCCGATCGCATTTCCCACGTGGCTTGATGATCTGCAGCTTTTCCTTCTGACTGATGCCAAAGATGGTGTCTCGCTTTTCGACTATGCCACTGGCACTGCCGCTGCTCCTGCTGACAGTGCTCCTGCTGTAGACCGCTCACAGTGGCTGACTCGCGATGCTGCTGCGCGCCTTGCTATCCGCAACCATCTGCCGATCACTGAGCGCGCGCATTTCAGTCAGCACAAAACTGCCAAGGCACTTTATGACGCAGTAGTTGCACGCTACTCCTCCCCAGCCACTGCCGCTGTAGGAGGCCTCATCCTGCCCTACCTGTTCCCTGACCTGTCCTCCTTCCCCACTGCTGCGGACTTGATTACTCACCTTCGCGATAGTGAGGCCCGCTTTAACGCCGCTCTTAAGGACGAGTTCCGTGCCAAGAACCCCCCTCCGCTCTACTTTACCCTCTACCTCCTCGTCACCCGCCTCCCTGACACCCTTAGCACAGTCAGGGACCACTTCCTCGCCATTGACGCCCCCGAGATCACCCTAGACGACTTCAAGCGGTAGCTTCTCGCAGCAGAGAAGAATCTCCTAGCTGTCGGTGCTGCTCGTGGCACTCCTCGCACTCCCCTCTTTGAGGGGTGCTCCCCCTCCCCCCTCACCCCCTCGTACGCCTCGGTTGCTACTCCCGTTGACCTTCCTGGTGCTGAGAGGGCCGCAGCTGCTTCCGTATCTGGTGGGAAGCGCGGCGGGGGCCGGGGCGGCAAGGGGGGCAGGGGTGGCGGGGTGGGGGTGGGGGGAGCGGTGGTGGGGGCGGTGGGGGTGGTGGGGGGGGTGGAGGTGGTCGTGGGGGTGGTGGAGGTGGCAGCGGCGGCAAGGGGGGAGGAGGCGGTGGTGGTGGGGGTGGTGGTGGAGGCGGGAGTGGGACCGGCCAACAGCAGCAGCAGCAGCAGCAGCAGCAGCAGCAGCGCCAGACCCCCTCCTCTCAGCAGCTTCATGACTGGTATGCTGGGCGTGGGGCGTCTGGGGGTCCTGGTCGCTGCCCCTATGTCATTCTCACTGGCCCTCGCAAGGGCCGCACGTGCAACGGCCTTCACCCTGAGTCCCGTTGCTTTGCGCGCCTCAGCGACGCCTGGCGCGCCAAGTTCCCTGATTCCACTGAGTTCCCCGACTGGGCTGATCTGATTAGGCGTAATGTCTATGTCTATGATCTTGACTATGATGCAATCCTTGCTGCCATGTATGCATTGACTGTTAGTGCTGAGGGTGACTGCTACTTGTGCGTTCCGCCTGACCCAGGTATAGAGACTGCAGCCCTAGGTGCTCGTGCGTCTGACCCCTCTGGTACTGCGTCCGCACAGGCTTTGCACACGTTTACACTTGACTCTGGTGCTTCTCGCTGTTTCTTTCGCGACAGCACCGCAGTCACCCCCCTCCCTGCACCTGTTCCTGTCTCGCTGGCTGACCCCTCTGGGGGCCCAGTGCTTGCACGTGCCACGACTGTGCTTCCGTGCCCGGCGGTCCCGTCTGGTGAGCTGTCAGGTCTCCATGTTCCCTCGTTCTCTACGAACTTGGTGAGCAACGCCGTCCTTCAGGATCACTGGGTTGACACCTGGACTCTTGGAGGACAGCGTGTGGCGATCTGTACCTGCTCCAAGACTGGCCGCCACCTGGCCACGTTCACCCGTGAGCCGGGGTCCAGTCTTTACACTCTCACCACTGTTTCACGCTCCACTCCTTTGTCTCCACAGCTGTACGCACTCAGGTAGCCACCCAGTGTGAGTGCCGCCGCCTGTCCCACGACACTCTCCTGTGGCACCACCGCCTTGGTCACCCCTCCCTGCCTCGCCTGCGTGGCATGCACTCTCGCTGTCTGGTCTCTGGTCTTCCCAGGTCCCTGCCTGCACTCCCTCCCTCGCCTGCACCGCCCTGCATTCCTTGCGTCGAGGGGCGGCAGCGCGCCGCTCCTCACTCCTCCTCGTTCCCTCCCACAGAGGCTCCGCTGCAGACGCTCCACCTGGACGTGTGGGGCCCAGCCCGCGTCCAGGGGCAGGGCCGCGAGCGGTACTTCCTGCTGGTTGTCGACGACTACACGCGCTACACCACGGTCTTCCCCTTGCGCAGCAAGGGGCAGGTCCCTGATGTTTTGATCCCCTGGATCCGCGCTGCTCGTCTCCAGCTCCGTGAGCGGTTCCAGTCGGACTTTCCTGTCCTGCGTCTGCACTCTGACAGAGGTGGTGAGTTCTCCTCCGACCTCCTGCGAGCCTTCTGTGCGGAGCACGGCATCACCCAGTCGTTCACGCTTCCGGCCTCTCCACAGCAGAATGGGTTTGCTGAGCGCCGCATTGGCTTAGTCATGGAGGTCGCTCGTACCTCCATGATCCATGCGGCTGCCCCCCATTTTCTGTGGCCGTTTGCGGTCCGGTACGCCGCGCATCAGCTCAACCTCTGGCCCCGTGTCTCCTTGCCGGAGACCTCGCCCACACTGTTGTGGACGGGGAAGGTTGGCGATGCGTCGCGCTTTCGGGTCTGGGGTGCTCGTGCCTTTGTCCGCGATACCACCGCGGACAAGCTCTCCGCCCGCGCCATTCCCTGTGTCTTCCTTGGTTTTCCTCCTGACGCGCCTGGCTGGCAGTTCTACGACCCCGCCTCGCGCCGTGTCTTTGCGTCTCAGGACGTCACCTTTGACGAGTCCGTTCCCTTCTACCGTCTCTTTCCCTACCGTACCTCCCCTCGCGCCCCCCCGCCGCTCTTCCTCACCCCAGGTTATCCCCAGGTAGACCCCCTTCCCGCGCCAGGTCCTGCCCCTTCAGGTGTTTCTCAGGTAGACCCTCCCGTACCTGCGCCTGTTGAGGTCACTGGTGACTCTGGTCCTGCTGGAGGTGTAGTTGGCTCTGGGGGTGCTGGTCCTCGGGGTGCGGAGCCTAGGGGTGCGGAGCCTGGGGGTGCGGAGCCTGGAGGTACTGAGCCTGGGGGTGCAGAGCGTGAGCGTGAGGTGCCTGGAGGTGCTGAGCCTGAGGGTGCGGAGCGTGAGTGTGGGGTGCCTGGAGGTGCTGCGCCTGCGAGTCAGGAGCCTGGTGGTGCTACGCCTGAGGGTGCTGTGTCTGGGGGTGCCGTGCCTGTGTGTGTGGAGACTGGGGGAGCTGAGCCTGGAGGTGAGCTGACTGCGTCTACTGCGCCTGCTGGGACGCGGTCCCCGTGGAGCGACCGCCTTCGTCCGCGTGTACCTCTTACCTCGCAGCAGCTGCACGACTGGTTCGGGCGCCGTCAGGGTCGCGCTGCTGGAGCTCGAGGCTCTGCTTCTGGAGGTGTTGAGGTTCCTTCCCCTGGTCCTGGAGGTGCTCGTCCTGGTGGGACTGGAGCTGCCGGGGTTGGAGGAGCTTTGCGTGAGGGTTCTGCTGCTGGAGACCCTGGGACTGGGGGTGCTGGTTCTGGGGGTGCTACTACCAGTGGAGTTGGTCCTAGGGGTCTTGGAGCTACTGGGGGTGCTGGTGCTGCTGTCAGTGGACCTGGTCCTGGTGGCGCTGTTGCTGAGGGGGCTGGAGCTGCTGGGGGTCCTGGTACTACTGCTGCTGGTGACACGGCGCCGCGGCGTCTGTTCTTTGCTCCGCCGTCTCCGTCTTCTCAGCCACCGTCTGACTCGGCACTTCGCCAGGTTCTTAGTCTCCCGTCTTCTACTGGTCTTCCCTTACAGCCTGGCTCACCACTGCCTGCTCCTTCTCCTTACTCTGAGCAGCCAGGAGGTCTTACTGAGCGTCGTGAGCCTGCGTCACGTCCTGTCTCGCCTGTCCGTCCTGGTCGTTCCGGTCGTCGTGTCTCTAGTCTGCGACAGCCGCCTGTTCGCAGCACGCCCCTGGTTGTCAGACGTCCTTCTCCCACTCAGCAGCGTGTTCCTCTGCCGTCTCCCCCTGCGTCCTCTCTGCCTGACGTTCCCGACCCTGA